AAGATGCTTGAAACAACAGCCTTAAAATAAGCATTTTAGATGATCCTCTCAGCTCTATTAGATTGCATAGTTTCTCCTGTGATCTCCCAAGTTCTTGTTATTTTCAGGCACTAAAGCATGGTGAACGTTTCATAGTTGTATTTATAAATATACCGGTACAATTAAACCTCAGTAAACACAGGCTTGATTACAATGAAAAGTGCCCTCTAGTAGTTAATTAGATATAACGACCTATGGTCATGACAAACTGTTTACCTTGGTCCAATGCTTTTCATTATAGTAAGGTTTGACTGTATGGACAATGTAACTATGATGAAATTGTTTAATAAAACATGCTTTATTAGGAGAAAAACTGAAAGATATGTTGTAGCACTGAACAATAACACTTCTACTGAAGATCAACTCTGCTATCACTTTGGATTACTGTAAAATATTTTATTTTAGCTGGAATTAATTTTCACTGATAAGACAATATGTCTGTTTTGTATGAAGTTTATTTTGACTTATGAGTTGAATGTAAAATATAGGAAAAAAAGTATGTTACAGTATTCAAATTCCAGTCTTGTTTCCCATACGTAATTATCATATCATTGTTGATAAGCACATACCTCAACATCTCCTTCTTCATTCTTGGCTTCTTCAGCTTCCCTCTTCTGTTGTTCCTCCAACTCCTCGGCACGTCTTTTCAGCTCCCTTTCCACCTCCAGTGCATCCTGCACCTCCTCAATTTCAATACCACGGTCACGCATTTTTTCGTTCAGGATTCTCTGCTGTCTTTCTCTTTCCTCAGCTTCTCTTATTCCACGTTCTGTGAACAAAATTATAACCTTATTTAGAATGTGCATGCTGATTTCTAGGGATTCCCCCACTATTTCTTACTGTGTGTGAAATTGCATGTATTTTGATCTGCAAACTGGCAATGACCTCATGGCGGCAATTATAGAGAAAGTACTGTTAAAATGGTGTTCAGTTTAGATTGGATTTAGTTATGGATTGGTTTTAAGCAATAAAGTATCACAAAGACAAAAGTAAATTCAGAAATCTTACCTTCTTCTGCTTTTATTTTCAACCATTCCTCTTTTTCTTTCTCTTCTTCTCTTCCTCTTGCTTTCTCCTAATATCTTCCTCACGTTGTTGTCTCCTAGCAACATCATCCAGCAGTTTTCTCTCCTGTTCTAATTTC